TTACACACTCAATTATGCATACCACGTCTTCTGAACTTGTTTTTATAAATGAACCATGCGTCGGACAATATAAAATCCCTTGTAGAATAATATAATCAATGTTGCCCTCAATCCCATATCAATATTTGTACAGTGTATGATGTAATTAAGGTCGATATACTGATTTTTTTGCTACATTTAAAATATAAATAAATTTTGGGAAAAAATATAAATAACTGCATTGATCCATACAACATTTTTTATGAATTTCATGTCGGCTAGAAAGTCATTTTAAAAGAAGCATCCTTATTGTGAAAAAATCACAACTAGAGATGATGTATGTAGAATTAAAAAAACACCTTGCTGAACGATAGATATTTTATTGTTGATTTTGAAGTTATTGCAAGCACATGGGTAGAAATACATTTTATTATTTTTTTTTGTGAGTTGGGTGTTAATTTATACAATTTTTCGTCAGGTTTTCAACGGAAATTATTACGTTTTTTATGAATGACAGATCTTTGGATGTTTATTTCATGCAGAAGTTCTGTAGCATGGAATAAGTTTTAGATAATATAAATTTTAATTTATTGAGATATTTTTAATTACCATCTACACTATCGTCCTTACCTGTTTCTACAATCGATCCAACCATAGTAAACATGTCTGATGAGAGACAATAAATAAAGTTGTTTTACATGGGAACAGGAATGATTTTTATTTTGATCAAAGAAGAAAAGGTGGAATGTGGTAAGGTGGAATATCTATCAAGGTAGTGAATATACATTGAACGTCGATATTATACCTAAATGTGACATCGAAGATCCTTATAGGAAACCTGCTTTTGAGTAGCATTTTCATTCCCTGTTCATGTGGGTTTAAGGGTGATATTTTCCCTTTCTTGAATGTTTTCTGGGTCCGGATTTGTACAACTTTTCCATGTGGTCAGGAGTAAGTTACATGAATAACAATATTGTATTACACTAAGAGTTTTAAACAATGTTTATGTGTTGTTTTTTATTATTTCCAAAGATTGTTTATATCTCAGGGTTTAAATTTGATTCTCTGATTTATGAAAGAATGACAAAAATAATGAAAAAATAGTGTGGCACTTTAGGTTTCAAATCGAGAAATTAAACTCATCCAATATTTCCTAATGTCCGTTTTATTTTATAATAATTTGGACAAAAATGAATGTATCAAGCTAAAATTTTCAACATTTCTTTATTTTTTGTTGTTTTATGTTCCTTAAAAATTCTGTAAGCTTAGACAACAAAGTACTAATTTTATTGCCTCAGTCCACGAACATTTTGATAACCCCTCGTAGTAGACTCTCATCATGATTAAGCTTCACTCATAGTGATGTGAAATGTTTAAAAGTGTATCCTTTTTCCTCATAATAAGTAACGTTAAGGGGGAAAAAAGGAAACTCTTATGATTATAAAGTGTGTTAAAGGGTGCTTGTGATCTGTTATAATAAACCAATTGAAAGAGGAGATTCCTAGCGATTGTCAAGTCTTCTTAAGAGTGTTTTGTGTCTTTTATTTGTTTAAAAAAAATCAAAAACAATCGTGACTTAATGATTTTATCTCACCGTTTGATTTTCAATTCTTTTGAATAAAAGAAATACTGTACTGGGAAAATGATAAATAATGTGACATTATGGTTTTAAATTAAAAAAAAAGAAAGCAAATTAATCATGCAAGATACACCGACAGGAAAAACTAGATGCTGTCATGAGACAGTATTGCCTGCACTAAGGGTTTTGCCTCTTAAAACACGCTAATTTATATTGTGCTTCCAGGGAAAACATAAAAAAATAATTTAATAATTATCACAGAACGTGCATTCGTCAAATTGAGCATAATATTTTCAGGTGACTATGTGATTTATGGACCTCTTATATCTATTCCGTATGCTTAATATATCACCAGTCTGAAATAACAAAATTTAATTAATGATGTAAATTATATTTTGATAAATATTTTGCCCATTATTGGAACTTTTTAAAATTTACTTTCTCAACAACATATTATGTTATTTAAGATCAAGGCTTTTTAGATGAATCTATCAATATGTGCAAACTGTTTTTTAGTATTTCGTCAGGCAAAAAAAAAGAAAAAAAACATTGAAAATACTACCCCATCAATTTGTCTATGGCCGCCCCCTCCCCTCCAACCACCATCCACACGTGTTTTGCTTTTCCAAGGCCTAGATGTTAAAGTTATGTTAAAACATCATTTATTATATTAGGTTGAAAATCTGTTCATGCACTACACATGTTTTCGTGTGAACTCCTTTTTTGTAAATTTTTGCAACAGATTGGGTTTGCATCATCCATAATTTCACTATTTGGCACACCTCGACTGATTTTCACTTCACCTAATGAAGGCGACGAAATCAGAAAAGGTTTGCCGAATTCGATAGCGTATGCTGATTGTGTATCAGTTAAAATCATTTTGTATTCTTAATTAAATTATATGGATTACATTTCATGAAATTGACAGGATGGTAAGTACAAGGTTTAGTAAAGATTGCGTTAAAATACACCGAAATGCAAATGGTTAGATTGAAGTTCAAAAAGGGTAAAAAAAAACATTGCATGCCACAGTAGACGAAGTCATCTCCCGTTCTCGACGTGACTTCAGTACATGTACACAGGGTTAAGTTCAGAATATTTTTTTGCTTCAGTATACTCCTATTCATTCCAGATGGGAGGGGTGGGGGTCCGATCTCCCTAGTCTCTGTCTGTACCTGAAATGATAAATGATATTGTGATTCCAAGGTAGAAATTTTTTCCCATTTGACTAATATTAAATATTGTTTCTTGTATTTTTATTAGGTTTGTTTCTTCTAATTTGGGATATACACATGGCTTCTACATTTCATAGATATTTAAAAAATCCATGTGAGAAGACCTTTATTTTGAGTACCACTAATTTTTACCTCTTGATCTCTTGACCTTGGAGTTTGAACCAATTTTACAGGAAAAATACCAAACTTTAAACTTTTTGCAAGGACTTTCATGCTTGACATGTGTATAAAACTGTATTCATTGTGAACTTTCAACAGGTATAAAAAATTTTGACCTTGACCATAGAGTTTGATCCACCTAAAAAAAAACTTAAACCTCGGTGGCAATAACTTTTCAACAGAAAGTACTAGGGATTTCACATTTTCACAACCTTTAAATACCAACAATGCTGACCCTTTAACCTTGGATTTTGACTTATATTTGAGAAACTTGAACATTCGCTGAAAGCTGCAACAGTGTTTTACAAACACATTTTGTCTTCGTTATTTTTAAGGAGTGGTGTCTCCACATGAAGAAAAAAAAATCCCGAAAGGGATGTTTTCACAACAAACAAACAAATTACTAGAAAAACACAGTATACATGTATATCTTTTATAATCACCTGATATACTTCTGGTCATATTCTCCCTTGAATAAGAAAAGATGATAAAAAATATTTTAAAAATAATTATTATAAGTATTGAAAAGGTTAATAATTCTTATAAAGGACAGAAGATACAAACAAATTTTTACTTTGGATGATACTTAATATCATTTCACAAGTTCAGAAAAGGGGATAATTCTTAAAAATAAAATTCTCCAAAGAAATGGAAAGTGAAATAGAATTGGAAAATTTTAGTAATATTTTAATTGATAAAACAAATATAGACAAATCACACCAAGTAAGTGTTTAAAGATGAAAACAAATTAAAAAAAAATGTTTGTATCATCTGTCTTTAAAATTGAATTAGGTTTGCGCTTGAATTAGTTATACCAGTTTTAGCTTTTATTTGCTACTCAGATCACCCTAATTTACTATTTTAAATCATAAACTTTTATTTTAAATATACATTTTTAAACATGTATAAATTTTTATACATTTTTTAAACATATTTTTCAACAAGGACACATATGTCATACATTTTCAGCTTTTCAACATAAATAATGCATGAAAATAACCAACAGCTTTTCAGAAACAGTTCTTAATACTTTAGATCATAGGTTTTGACTCCTTTAGCTTTTCTGGTTTCCTGATCAGATTTTGTAAATCGTCTATCTGTTTCTCTGCAAACGTTATATATATTTTTAATTCTCTAGAACAATTTCCTTTGTCAATTATAACCAATTTACATAGAAAAATGCAGAGGACTTTTTCTATCATAAATCTTCTTCTCAAGAACAGCAAGGACATTAAGCCGGGTTTGCTGTTGCGGACCCAAAACTGACCGCGTGCGAACGCGGATCGAACCCGGAGCGCACCCAGAGCGGTCCCAACATTTCTAAAAGCTAACCTGAAGCGGACCCCGAGAGAACCCGACAAGCAAACCAGAGGTCTTCTTCGGGTTTGCTCTGATGTTAGGTTGTGTCCGGTCGGTACTGCATGTCAGTCTGTCCGTCTGTCTCATTATATTCAACCTTGGCCATCATAGTCATATATTTTGAATGGGAAGAGACAGGAATTTCCTCATTAAACATGTGTATTAGTATTAACCAGTGACAATACCATTGTAAATACATGATGTTTTTTTCACGACCTTGACCTTTAAGTTTGACCTATTTAAGAAAATAAATTGTTTTAAATTGATTATTTTGAAAGAGAAACGAAAATCTTCATTGGAATTAATACTAGTCTTAAATAAGCACTAACACATTCTAAAAGTATAGTAATTGTACTTTTAACAGATTAAAGAAATGAATGTAAATATATACAAAATCATATTAAGTATTGTTTATTTTTTTCATATCTATCAATTAAAAATAACTCATTCAAAAACAATGTTTTTATTTTAAGTCTTTAAATTGGTATATACAAAATAATGTTTTATGATGCTATCCACTATCAGCATTACTCTGAATTTGACCTATGACATATGTATCCTGAATCTTTTATCATTTTTTGACTGTTCATTAAAATTCACTGCTGAGCGTTAAGTGTTGCGGTAGCAAAATATTTAGGGAAATTTTTAACTTCCCGTTTAAAAATATATAAACTGCGATCTTTAAAGAGACGCTTATTTTCAGACAGCGCACAAGTAAAACCATGGCAGAAGTTTGGTCGGCTTCCTTCGTGTGCGGTTTGTTCTTCTGTGCCGCTAGTTCTCAGCAAATGTATTTCAATGACAAAAATGATTGCGTCCGTAATGATCAGACGACACAGACATTCAATGAAAACGTTGAGTACTTAAAACAAGAAAACGCGAGACAAATTGAGTCCTTCAGACATGAGATCGCGAAACAAATTGTTTCCTTAAGACGAGAAAATACGCGGATGACCGCTAATCAAAAGAACATTCAAGAAGAATTCGATGAGATGGTTAATATCCTAAAGAAAAATGAAGCCAACATCCACGAAGATTTGAAGAGCAGCATACTGCAAACCATCAAGTCAGGTAACTCTCTCTCTCTCTCTCTCTCTCTCTCTCTCTCTCGCTCTCAGTATATTTTATATTACGATTATTATCATATCACGTATTTATGTTTTTCTTTCAGAGTTAAGCCTATATAAATATTGTAAGAACCTCAACATTTATGGCTATAAAGAATCTAGTGTTTATGAGATACATCCATTTGGTAATAACAGCAAGGTCAGCGCCTTCTGTGACTTGGTGACAGAAGGTGCAGGGTGGACAGTAAGATCTATTTATCCTTCTCTCAATCTCTCTCTCTCCCTCTCTCTTTATCTCTCTCTCTTTCCCTCTCTATATTTATTTCTCTCTCTCTTTTTTTCTCTCTCCCTTTATTTCTCTTTGTATTACTCTCTCTTTTTATCAGTTTCTCTGTTCCGTTCTCTGTGACATGGTGACAGAAGGGGGAAGGTGGACAGTAAGACACCCCTCCCTCTCCTCTCTCTCTCTCTCTCTCTTTATTTCTATCTGTATTACTCTCTCTGTATTAGACCCCTCTCTCTCTCTCTATCTCTCTCTCACTTTCTTTCTCTCTCTCTAAACGTGGAGAACGGACAGTAAGATTTTTCTCTCCCTCTTTCTCCCTCTTTATTTCTGTCTTTCTCTTTTTTCTTTATCTTTCTCTCTCACCGTTCTCTCTGCCTCTCCTCCCCTCTTTTCCATTCTCATTCCCCATTCCCTTTTTTCTCTTTCTATCTCACGCCCAACGATAAATTTAATCTTATTTTTCTTGAATGATTTATAAATCTTTGATCTTAAATTTGCAATCAAATCTTTGTCCTGAAAAGAGCGAAAATGACGCTAAATGATCATTGAATAATTCATTTCTAATCTAATTTACATGAAGATAATATAAATCTGACAGTAAATATTATTATTTACAAAGCATAATAACACTTTTGCAATATCATAAATTTTAAAATATATATATAGTTTAAAAAGTTTTTGGTGTATAAAGACTTTTTTTTTTAGAAAAAAGAGCATTGCTTAAAATTGCATATATTAGGACTAAAAAAGTTTAATCGTTTTTGAATGATTGTTTTTATGAATAACTCATTTGAAACATTCTTCACAGTACAACGTAGCAAACAAAAACTTCACAACTTTCAGAAATTAACTCCACATAATTCATAAAACCTTAGGCTATCCAGAAACGGGTTAGTGGTTCGGTGTCATTCGACAGAACGTGGACGGACTACAAGACGGGATTCGGGAATCCTAACGGATCCTACTGGATAGGTAAACTATATACAGTTATGGAATGACTACAGAGGACATAGCAAATTTATGGATTTCCAAGGGTTAGGGTTCCAGATGCAGAAATATTCCCCTCTCCCGGGGAACCATGAATTTGCTGTTTACATTGTATCCATTATAACTATATCTGATGTTGGTTTAGGGATGATAATTTTTCTGATTCTTAACAGTTTTAATAACCATTTTATTTTTTATCATTTAAAGTGAAGTTTTTAAAAATTAATGTAAAATATGTTACTCGTTATATAACGATTTCCCTACTTTGATTTCAAAACATGTTCGTTTATTGCTCAAATGAAATTTCTGCATACAGTGTACTTTTGCAATTGTATGTTACTTTATATGACACCACTCCTGAAATAATAAAATTTACTTTATTAATGTTTTCTAAATAACTCATTGATAACATTTTTAAGGAAATGAGGTTATACATCAACTTACCAAGGGGAGGAACTCCTCCCTCTACGTCTCTATCACACTGACTAATGGGACAAAGCTCTATGAATTATACAACCAGTTTTCTGTTGCTGACGAAATCAACAAATACAGACTTTTTCTTGGAGGACCAGCTACCGGGACACTGTGTAGGTAAACGGTAACAGAATGTACGAATGGCGACCATTTGGTTCTTAGGGGAAGGCTTTCAGATTTATAGTTTCAATGTTAAGAAAAAAAGCTTCACATGAATGAACGAATGGCGACCGATAAGGAGAGAGAGAGAGAGAGAGATAGAGAGAGAGAATTTACTTTATTGTGACAAATGGACTACTCTTTCTCTGAGAATCAGCCCTATAGTTACGTAATTAAAGGGAAGAGGGTGTAATGTGTGGATATCAATATTTCGAAAGTAAAATTTTCCTTGTATATTGAAAATTACCAGTCCATATTATATGAGCCAATCAGTAATAAACTGCACGTCTACTCCAACGTTATGTTGCCAGACACAATTATTATTATTATTAAAACATAGCGAACTCCTCAATTGCCGTGTTTAACATGTATTATAAAACAAAATTTCTGGTTCTCAACCGGCAAGTGATGTCGTCACCATATGAGTGAAAAATTCTCGAGAGGGACACTAAACAACATACAATCAATCAGTCAATCAATCTTTTATTTCTGTTGAGACTCATCAACATGTTCGTATACAGTCAAAAAAAGAAATCAAATGACAGACAGAAAAACAACGTTAGATATTAAATAAAAAAGTGTTCATCCATTGTAATTGAAAGGAATGCAATTTAAAGTAATTCAAAAAAAGACTTTTACTGTTGAATACTATGGATACTTTAAGCTTTCAATTTTTTATAAATAATAATGATCTAATCTGAAATAGGTGTTCATGTTGTATTTTTCTTTGATAATTTTACAGGTAACTATATGTTAGGCACTGGTGGATCTAACAAAGATATGTCTGGGATGTCATTCTCGACCCCGGACAGGGACAACGACGGGCTAGTGGATATAACTGTGCTGCTGACAGTACCACTAGAGGGGGCTGGTGGTATAACTCCTGTCACTTGGCCTTCCTTAACGGTCAGTGGTCCCCGGAGTCCTGCGTCAGTTACTCGTTAGTTGTACTGTATTTTGTATAAACACCAATATTACTCGTTACTTGTACTGTATTTTGTATAAACACCAATATCACTCGTTACTTGTACTGTATTTTGTATATACACCAATATTACTCGTTACTTGTACGTGTATTTTGTATAAACACCAATATTACTCGTTACTTGTACTGTATTTTGTATAAACACCAATATTACTCGTTACTTGTACTGTATTTTGTATATACAGTGTGTGGAAATGCTGCATGTAATGTCAAACCAATGAATGGGAAAACAAAAGATTATATGATTTATTTTCATGACATTAACGTTGAAGGCCTTGACTGAACAACGTCATAAGCCAAAATCAAATTTCCCGCTCTTCTTGATCAGTTTGAAGTTTTATAAGCCACCTTCAGAGACTTTACGTCACATTGATATATATTTGAGTCTTTAAGACAAAAATGCTACAGATCCCGTGATGCAAATGTTGTTCATTTTACGGCGCTAAATTTTGCGCACGGATAGGGATAATTTTTTTCTACTTTTCTGCATTGTTAAATAAACCACCCGATCTTTCCTAATTTGAGAAATACTCTTTAACAACTTGTATATTTTATCCCCCTGACCCCTTATAATCATCCATAAAACTTTATTCAATCGTTTTTTATTGATAAAAAACTTTTTTAGGGGGGGGGTTCACAAGAGAAACCTATAAAGGGTTTGGAGGCGGATATAATATACAGGTTGAAAAAAGAATATGTCTTACATTTGGGAATGAAAGGTAATTGATAGTCCAATGCAGAAATGAAGAAAAATATATCCCCAAAGTTGTCGAAAAATCGTCGTTAAATGCTCAATACTTACTTTACGAGATCGGTTGCGTTTTCATCAATAATAAAATATTAAACACAACGCTACTGTTTCTGTAGCTAGAAGTAGATACATGTTGAAAAGCTTTAAAATTATTAATGTATAGTAGACTAAATTAAAAACAGGATTGAGAAAGAAGAAAAGGGTACAGTTTCAATGCTGGAGGTACAAAAATAAAAATATTCGCATTTATTTCTTTATATCTTTCAAAAATATGCATAATTATAAAACATCTTATCAATATGTAATTCCCCATCCTTCCAAGATTTTTTTGTAAGAGCGTAAATATTTACAAACTGTTACCCGCGTTCAATAAAATGGCTCTATTGTCTGAATTCTAGTCATGTTTTATCTAAAGTCTATTAGTTCTAGTCAATTGATAATTAAAACAAGCTCGTATATTAAGGAAATACAGCCATTTTGTGTTCTTATGTTACTGATCTAAATGTTAATATTGCCTGGTGTATTACATTTTGTGTTCTTATGTTACTGACATAAATGTTAATATTGCCTGGTGTATTACATTTTGTGTTCTTATCTTACTGATATAAATGTTTATATTGCCTGGTGTATTACATTTTGTGTTCTTATGTTACTGATATAAATGTTAATATTGACTGGTGTATTATAAGTCTTTATTTATAGCCTGAGTACTTCTTGCTTACCATTAAGTTGGCATGATTACAAAAAGTATATGTCTGACGAAGTTTTAAAATTCTGCCATTGCCACATGTGTATCATCTTCTCCCTTCAGTTCTTCAGGTAATACTTCAACCGGATAAGACATATTGACTTATTGGGACACAATGCAATCATTATTTATGACTATTCCTTATAACAAAATTATAATAAATAGGCAAAAACGTACATTGTCAATGCTGTAGTTATTCTTTCTTACTAATAGGTTTAATCTTGTTCAACAAAAAAAAAATGAATTGCATAAAAAAATAACCTAATTGTAATACTTTAAGCAGACAAGATATATTGACTTATTGCAATCAAGATTTATGACTAGATATGGTTTTCCTCAAAACAAAATTACAATAAATAGGAATAAACATACATTATCAATACTTTAGATATTCTTTCTTACTAATAGATTTAATCTTGCTCAACAAAATTGAATTACATAGTAAAATAAAACAACCTATATTCTCTCGAACTCTTATGTAAATACTGGGCGCAGCCATTACGTTTGAGGTTAGGGTGCACAATTAAGGTCAAAATTACTCAGTAATCAAAAAATATCAACACTTTTTTAAAATTCCAAATCACTTTATACTATCAATTATATCTATATTCTATGTCACTTTATACCAAAAGAGCTATTCGTCCTAAGATAATATATACATATAAATACATATTCATCTATAAAAAATGACAACACTTGTTTATCCACATGTAAGTTACTGTTCACCTGCTCACTTTGCAGCCTGTAACACTAATTCATACATTTAACATTCTCATATCGAGTCACATGTTCCTAACATAAACTTCAATCTCGTTCCATAGATAAAAGACGAAATAAATTGTAAATAATACAATATCACCAGAAGAAGATGACATATATGTGAAAATTGGAGATTTATTTAACTTGAGGATTCACTGCTTCTAGTCAAAGGAGTCGCAAAATATTAAAAGAGTTATCCCGCTTTCTCCAGATATTAAAACCAGTCCCAGTCGTACATTAAACTCTAATCAAATAAACGGAGTCTTCTCTGAAAACTGGCTAAATAATTAAGAAGAGAGAAACAGGCTAAATAAAGTTGTAGAGAAAAATGAAAAAAATTATTGCTGAAACATTTGTAGAAAGACACATTCTATTACATGTCTAAAGGTAAGAAATATGAATATGAAAATATTATTTTTAAGTTGTTGTAGGCTAAAGACAATTGACAGAAACCATTGACGGCATGAAGTCAGTTATATCTTATTATAAAATAATATATATATTTTTTTACTTTAAGCAATAACATTATAAGTTAATGTATTCAGAGAATAAAGTTTTCATAATTTTAAGCCTTATGAGACTATGTATATCTATACTATAATCACACAGAAAACCTCGTCTCTGAATCAGTAGATCTACATTATAATCACACAGAAAGCCTCGTCTGTTAGTCAGTACATCTACATTATAATCACACAGAAAACCTCGTCTGTGTATCAGTAGATCTACACTATAATCACACTGAAAAGCTCGTCTGTGAATCAGTAGATCTACACTATAATCACACAGAAAACCCCGTCTGTGAATCAGTAGATCTACATTATAATCACACAGAAAACCTCGTCTGTGAATTATTAAATCTACACTATAATCACACAGAAAGCCTCGTCTTTGAATTTTTAGATCTACACTATTATCACACTATTATCACACAGAAAGCCTCGTCTGAGAATCAGTAGATCTACATTATAATCACACAGAAAGCCTCATCTGTGTATCAGTAGATCTACACTATAATCACACAGAAAGCATCGTCTGTGAATTAGTGGATCTACACTATAATCACACAGAAAACCTCGTCGGTGTATCAGTAGATCTACACTATAATCACACAGAAAACCTCGTCTGTTAGTCAGTAGATCTACACTATAATCACACAGAAAAACTCGTCTGTGAATCAGTAGATCTACATTATAATCACACAGAAAACCTCGTCTGTGAATTATTAGATCAACACTATAATTACACAGAAAGCCTCGTCTGTGAATTATTAGATCTACACTATAATCACAAAGAAAAACTCGTCTGTGAATCAGTAGATCTACACTATAATCACATAGAAAACCTCGTCTGTGAATTATTAGTTCTACACTATAATCACACAGAAAACCTCGTCTGTGAATCAGTAGATCTACACTATAATCACACAGAAAGCCTCGTCTGTTAGCCAGTAGATCTACACTATAATCACACAGAAAAAACTCGTCTGTGAATCAGTAGATCTACATTATAATCACACAGAAAACCTCGTCTGTGAATTATTAAATCTACACTATAATCACACAGAAAGCCTCGTCTGTGAATCAGTAGATTTACACTATAATCACAGAGAAATCCTGCTCTGTGAATCAGTAGATCTACACTATAATCACACAGAAAGCCTCGTCTGTGAATCAGTAGATCTATACTATAATCACACAGAAAGCCTCGT